GGGCTATGGGAGACAGGGGTCTAGGGGGTAGATGGGGGTCTGGGCAACTAACTAGGGGGTTGTCTGAAGTGAATAGTGGGTCTGAGAGGTAGGCTATATGTGGGTGAGGGTGTGTGATAGTGTGTGCGTGTCCATGGTGTGAAGATTACCAAGCTCAGAAATATTTCTCAAAAGCGGCCTTATCCATTTTAATTAAACTTGGTAGGCGGTTTGTGTGATGACCGAGGATGTATTAAATTGAGATAATGCTGTTCAAAGGCCGAGGTCAAAGGCTGAGGTCAAAGCTTTACACACCCAGCTGAAGGTATTACCTCGGGGGGGGGGGGTACAATATCCAAGACCAACGCCAGTTCAACGTCCAACGTCACGAAACGTTTATTTAACGTTCGTAACGATTCTACGTCGAAGCGACACTACTCTGAAATATTGTGGCCACTGGGATCTGTTATGAACAATCGTACACAGAGCAAATATTGTCGGTCATTCTGGTGGTCGATATGTTTTGGTGATGGGCTTAAGGCCTATCAACCTCTAGAGGGTTACAAAGCCCACCACAATACCTCACTCACCAACCAGTAAGCATATTTTAGTCCTGAACATTGTCCAGGACTAAAATAAACTTTGTATATGCATATACACATTTCGGTGTATGTGTATAAACAATGTTTACCCAGTTCTTGAGATGCACATCGTTCCGGAATCTTTCCCGTGTTTCTATGCTAATATAGTCATCCATCCGCGGCGTCTCCTGCTGTAGCTCAATATTTGCAGAGGTTCCGTTGTTGCACGTTGGTGAAAACCCGAAAGTTATGTTGTTGTATAAAAAGTTGCGTTTTGAGCAGCTGAGCATTGTGCCCTCTCTAGGCCCAATGGATCGGGTGGATCTTCGTCTTGATAAATTACAATATATAACTCGTATGTCCAAACGTCGAAGATGACAGAGTCTGTCAGTCTCTGTCTCTGCTCATTTTATTTTTATTCAGCGCCCTACAAATCTCTGGATATTACATTCATAAACCTTTATCGTAACCACCAGTCTACAGGCTTGTATGTCCCTGACCTTTGACCTCGGAGTCCCTCTGACCTTGGTCGGTGAACCCTGACATTCGACCCTTAACCTCTGACCTCAGATGAGTTGCTCTACAGCTGAGGCTAAGGGCCTTGTTAGCTCGGCTTCCCGTTTTCACTTCAAGTAGTGAAGGAAAATGAGGGTCTTAATCGTTATTTAATTTCGTGAAGCGACGGTTAAAGTGAGAATATTTCTGTGTTTCTGAAATATTATAACGAATCTTTAATTATTTATTAAGTATACATATTGCCTTCACTAACTACCCAGCGATTCTAACGAGGGAACGTTGAAGCCAATTCCTGCCGTTCACCAATAGGGAAAGTTTAAGGTAGAAATCTAAGCAAACCTATTTATTTATAATATATTTCATTGTGGCGGCGGGACAGGAAGCCTGTGTGTATTCATATACATTCATATACATGTGTGTATTCAACACCACAAGAAGCTGACTAACTACTGAGTACCTGCTTACTGCTAGGTGAACAGTGGCATTAGGTAAAAAGAAATATGCCCGACCATTTATGTCTCGCCAGGGATTCGAACCCGGAATTCTGGATAGTGTGTCGACAACGAACCAAGCTGTACTGCCGGGATCCCAAGATTTAAATCTATCATCGAACATGTAACCCAACTTGGCCTAACCCAGTTAAACCGTGTTTATCCTAGCGTGTCTGCCTATCCTAGCGTGTCTGCCTATCCTAGCGTGTCTGCTTATCCTAGCGTGTCTGCCTATCCTAGCGTGTCTGCTTATCCTAGCGTGTCTGCTTATCCTAGCGTGTCTGCCTATCCTAGCGTGTCTGCCTATCCTAGCGTGTCTGCCTATCCTAGCGTGTCTGCTTATCCTAGCGTGTCTGCCTATCCTAGCGTGTCTGCTTATCCTAGCGTGTCTGCTTATCCTAGCGTGTCTGCCTATCCTAGCGTGTCTGCCTATCCTAGCGTGACTGCCTATCGTAGCGTGTCTGCCTATCCTAGCGTGTCTGCCTATCCTAGCGTGTCTGCCTATCCTAGCGTGTCTGCTTATCCTAGCGTGTCTGCCTATCCTAGCGTGTCTGCTTATCCTAGCGTGTCTGCTTATCCTAGCGTGTCTGCCTATCCTAGCGTGTCTGCCTATCCTAGCGTGTCTGCCTATCCTAGCGTGTCTGCCTATCCTAGCGTGACTGCCTATCCTAGCGTGTCTGCTTATCCTAGCGTGTCTGCCTATCCTAGCGTGTCTGCCTATCCTAGCGTGTCTGCCTATCCTAGCGTGACTGCCTATCCTAGCGTGTCTGCCTATCCTAGCGTGACTGCCTATCCTAGCGTGTCTGCCTATCCTAGCGTGTCGTGCTGCCTATCCTAGCGTGTCTGCCTATCCTAGCGTGTCTGCCTATCCTAGCGTGTCTGCCTATCCTAGCGTGTCTGCCTGTCCTAGCGTGCCTGCCTGTCCTAGCGTGCCTGCCTATCCTAGCATTCCTGCCTGTCCTAGCGTGTCTGCCTATCCTAGCGTGTCTGCCTATCCTAGCGTGTCTGCCTATCCTAGCGTGTCTGCTTATCCTAGCATGTCTGCCTATCCTAGCGTGTCTGCCTATCCTAGCGTGTCTGCCTATCCTAGCGTGACTGCCTATCGTAGCGTGTCTGCCTATCGTAGCGTGTCTGCCTATCCTAGCGTGTCTGCCTATCCTAGCGTGTCTGCCTATCCTAGCGTGTCTGCCTATCCTAGCGTGTCTGCTTATCCTAGCGTGTCTGCCTATCCTAGCGTGTCTGCCTATCGTAGCGTGTCTGCTTATCCTAGCTGCCTATCCTAGCGTGTCTGCTTATCCTAGCGTGTCTGCCTATCCTAGCGTGTCTGCCTATCCTAGCGTGTCTGCCTATCCTAGCGTGTCTGCCTATCCTAGCGTGACTGCCTATCGTAGCGTGTCTGCCTATCCTAGCGTGTCTGCCTATCCTAGCGTGTCTGCCTATCGTAGCGTGTCTGCCTATCCTAGCGTGTCTGCCTATCCTAGCGTGTCTGCCTATCCTAGCGTGTCTGCCTATCCTAGCGTGTCTGCCTATCCTAGCGTGCCTGCTTATCCTAGCGTGTCTGCCTATCCTAGCGTGTCTGCCTATCCTAGCGTGTCTGCCTATCCTAGCGTGTCTGCCTATCCTAGCGTGTCTGCCTATCCTAGCGTGTCTGCCTATCCTAGCGTGTCTGCCTATCCTAGCGTGCCTGCCTATCCTAACTGTATCCTAGCCTGTCCTAGCGTGCCTGCCTGTCCTAGCGTGCCTGCCTATCCTAGCGTGCCTGCCTGTCCTAGCGTGCCTGCCTATCCTAGCGTGCCTGCCTGTCCTAGCGTGCCTGCCTGTCCTAGCGTGCCTGCCTGTCCTAGCGTGCCTGCCTATCCTAGCGTGCCTGCCTATCCTAGCGTGCCTGCCTATCCTAGCGTGTCTGCCTATCCTAGCGTGTCTGCCTATCCTAGCGTGCCTGCCTATCCTAGCTTGTTCATAACAACCTTTCCTCTTTATAAAACGCCGCATTTTAACGTATACTCTTCCTTAGGCCAAAAATTGACGTACTGGAAAATGATAGCGGCCCGCAAAATTCACAAACTGTCCCGTTTTCTGTCTTGGGTCCTCTGGTAGGTTTGGAAGTCATTTTAATACGACAGTTTCTTGCCGATGGGAAACCTTAGGAGGACGGGCTGGCTTTCGCGCGGTATTCGTGACTGAAACGTGCTTGTACTTACCTAGTTGTGCTTGCGGGGGTTGAGCTTTGGCTCTTTGGTCCCGCCTCTCAACTGTCAGTCAACTAATGTACAGGTTCCCGAGTCTATTGGGCTCTATCATATCTACACTTGAAACTGTGTATGGAGTCAGCCTCCGCCACATCACTTCCTAATGCATTCCATTTGTCTACTACTCTGACACTGAAAAAATTCTTTCTAACGTCTCTATGGTTCATTTGGGCACTCAATATCCACCTGTGTCCCCTTGTCGTAGGGCTTACGACAGGCTCCTGTCGTGCGGAATTTATCAACAAGTAGTTTAGCTATTTGGGAATAATTACAAAATCTGGGCTTTTGGTTCATTTACATAAAGAACGAATCAATATTTACGGTTTCCAACGACCCATAAATTGGGTGTATACCGCGGGTCCCTTTGTCACAGACGCTCCCTAGTCATTATCAAGGAGCTAGACGCAGTCTCCGGTAATCAAATATGTGTAGAGGGTTGTAGAGTCGAGGGGAAAGTGTCGGCATTGAACACGAGAATGTGTCATTATTACCATCGTACTGTGATCAGTCATACCCACTTGGGGGTCTCTGGACGGATCAAAAAAACAAAACGTGAGCACCCCATTTGTTTTGGTTGTCAGAAGAGGTGAATTGTTCTATTATTGTCCCCATTATTGACTGTTTATACTCCCCCGCCACCCATATTTATTGCTTCTATGTTAAAGATTGGCCACCTGGAACAAGATGTTCCAAGTAACACGGGCTATGGTGAGCCTGTACATAGTTATGTATTGCTTGTATTCCCTCTTCCTGTATTTACTGTTTATGATCTTGGTGTACATTTGATTGGTTTAGTATTTTTTTTTTTAACAAATATCGTGTTTGAGCCTAACACTCTTGTCCCTCTTCCCCCAGGCGCTGATGTGCTTAGGAATGTGCTTCCGTCTCGACGTCCTCCCATCTCGACGTCCTCCCATCTCGACGTCCTCCCATCTCGACGTCCTCCCATCTCGACGTCCTCCCATCTCGACGTCCTTCCGTCTCGACGTCCTCCCGTCTCGACGTCCTTCCGTCTCGACGTCCTCCCCTCTCGACGTCCTTCCGTCTCGACGTCCTCCCGTCTCGACGTCCTCCCCTCTCGACGTCCTCCCCTCTCGACGTCCTCCCGTCTCGACGTCCTCCCCTCTCGACGTCCTCCCGTCTCGACGTCCTCCCCTCTCGACGTCCTCCCGTCTCGACGTCCTCCCCTCTCGACGTCCTCCCGTCTCGACGTCCTCCTGGCGAACTCCTCACTTTATAATGTTGAGAAACCTTATTAACTATTTTTATCTGTGAACTCTGCAATTATAGAGCGCAATTCTGCCTCCCGACAGACTCTGAACTCTTTCGACAAGACTTTGTGCACAATACTTATTTGAAATTTATACCAGACATCGTCTCAAGCCAAGACATTTGTTTAAGGTTTAATAAAAACGCGGTTCAGCCTCTCTTATACCGACAGCAGCTTGCCACGGAAGTCAATTTGTGATTACTTTGCAAATATTTAAGTGTGCGTGTTGCTTAGGCTACAGTGGTGCCGCCTAGGCTACGGTGGTGCCGCCTAGGCTACGGTGGTGCCGCCTAGGCTACGGTGGTGCCGCCTAGGCTACGGTGGTGCCGCCTAGGCTACGGTGGTGCCGCCTAGGCTACGGTGGTGCCGCCTAGGCTACAGTGGTGCCGCCTAGGCTACGGTGGTGCCGCCTAGGCTACGGTGGTGCCGCCTAGGCTACGGTGGTGCCGCCTAGGCTACAGTGGTGCCGCCTAGGCTACGGTGGTGCCGCCTAGGCTACAGTGGTGCCGCCTAGGCTACGGTGGTGCCGCCTAGGCTACGGTGGTGCCGCCTAGGCTACAGTGGTGCCGCCTAGGCTACGGTGGTGCCGCCTAGGCTACGGTGGTGCCGCCTAGGCTACAGTGGTGCCGCCTAGGCTACGGTGGTGCCGCCTAGGCTACAGTGGTGCCGCCTAGGCTCCGGTGGTGTCGCCTAGGCTCCAGTGGTGGCGCCTAGGCTCCGGTGGTGTCACAAATAGTGAAATGAGACAGAAAAGTTATAAAGAACAAAACGAGACGATGGAAGTTCGTGAACGAGAAGATGTCTTCACGTTTTTGGGGTGTAAGGGGGATCTCGGAGGAGTAGGCTCGCATGGCCGCGTCTCCTTAATATTGAATAATGATATTCACGGTGCTTAGAGCTGATGAATAATGCATATCTATTAACGATGCCTTTACTGTAAGCTTCACTCATGAAAAAGTGACATAGATACAGAGATGAAAGCGTTCTTTTCCCCCCCAGTGTTTAAGCTGAGCACTGGATAATTGCTGTACAAACATGAATTCTCGGTAAATCTTGAGCGATGCCGGCAAGGAAGGTGTGAGTGCCGTCATGGACTCTCCGTCAAACACACTGACGGATATTGACACCACGCCCTTCAAGACCCTGGACGACTTAGCACACAACACCACCAGTAGCAAGTTCAGGAGCTCCCACGGCGTCTTCCCCAAGTACCTGCCGCCGCCTGCAGATATCAACTTCGTACCCGAAGCAAAAAAACACAATGGCGGCCATCTTAAGTCGCTGGCGTTTAACATCACTGTAGACTACACTAACACCCTCGATGTCTCCAGGGTCGTCACTTTAACCTCCTCCTCCTCCTCCTCTGACATCAACGCGGCACAGACCCTAGACCTCGGCACCTCCTGGAATATCACTCAAGTTGAGTTTGAGTTCAACTTGACACAGGGAAAGGAAGAGGCCCCCGGGTGGCGGAGCTCTGAAAGTTGGGGACCTGGAGCGGAAGGTGGAGCGGAAGAGTGGAGCCCTGGCCTGCTGGCCATGACAGGGCTGGCACTCTACACCCTGGCACTCTGTACTGCCGTTGGCAACGCCCTTGTCATCCACGCCATCAGGACGGAGAAACGCCTGCAAACGGTATGTCATATTTACTTCCTAAATCAAATAACAAAACTTTTTAATAAGTTTTTACATTTATAATTGTAACAGCGATTAAGGTAGCGTCTGGGATCCTCTTGGACGTAGGTTCGAACCCTCGTCACGGCCTTTGTGGATTTGTTCATTTATAATTGTAGTTTTTATAGAAGCACAGTACAGAAAATACATAAGTCACAGTAACAGCACATATTGTCATCATGTACTGTAGAACTTAGATTAGAAGCAGCCATAGGAAAACTTAAAGCTTAGAATTTGAGCAGAGACTGATATTGACAAAACATAAAATTAGGATAATTTGATGGATAGCAAATATAATTATATACCAGGAAGCTATAGACGGGGCTTGGTGGTCGGCTGCCGGAGTGTGATGCTCCATGGGACATTCCTCTGTCCTTTTGTGGCCTTATGCTCCTGCTGCTGTCGTCCTCTCCAATTGTACGGGATCGCTTTTCCTTTTCCTTATGTTTCGTTTTTCTCCCCCCTCTCTTCTTGTCATTTCCTGCCGACGTTTAGATTGCTTTGGTTATTCTTTTGGATTTCTTCTATTTTGACGCCCGGGTGCTTTGGGAGGCATACTCTTGCGCCAGTAGAACTGTTGTGCCCAACGTCAAGAGCGAGGAGAACCTTTTATTGTCAATCCTCCTTTCGTCACTGAACCCGATCTCGATGGACTGACGGTTCTTAAGGTGGCGTTTGTGGGGCGTATACTCACGATGCACCCCTAGGAGGCCCCGGCAAGATCGGCAATAGCTTCTTGTTGGGTGTCCTGCCTCTAATTGTGGTTCCATGATGGGTGTGGGGGCACATTCGTGGATGAAAGTCTTTCCTCGTTTTTATGGCAGATAATGTTTCCCTTGTACCTTCTCAGGCTCCTGGGGTGGGCGACCAAGCCCCCGAATCGGACTGTGTTGGAAGACCAGGCCCTGTAGCCCCTGCTGCATTGGGACCCGACCTTGCTCCTCCTTTGACCCTCCTGACTACTCCCCTCAGCTCCCCTCCCTTCTCTGTGGAAGAGTCGAGTTCCCAGCCCCCAGTGGTGACCACCTCGTCCCCTGGCACGGCTCCGTCTCTCATTGTGACTACTGCGCCTTTTAACCCCTCTCTCTCTCTCTTTGGGGGTTCTCAACGTCGTCCCCGCCACGGCCACACTCGCACGATCCCTTCCCATACTAATACTTACAACGCCTTGTTTGGTCCCGCTACATGGGTAAAATTCTTTGATCTCCACGATCTGGATTCTACTCCTCCTGATGATTTCTCCCTCCATAAAAACCTTGTTGATTCAGTAGATGCCTCTGTTACTTTTAACCCCACCAATTATGGTACACGTGTCATTGCTGCTGCTTCTCAGGATACAGCTACTCGCTTAGCCACTTTGTCCTGCATTGGGGAGACCCCTGTTCGGGTCTCCAAAAATGCTCGGTTAAATGCCAGTGTTGGCACTGTTCTCCTCGCACACCATGTTGCAACTGGTGTTCGGGACCTCAAAGACTGCCATGAGGATATTAAATATATCCTCGAAGCCCAAGGCCATTCTGTCCTCCAGGTGGACACGTTTACTCGACCCCCTCGTGGTCGTCGCCGTCAGCCCCTTCGAGTTGTGAAAATCACCTTTGATAGTAGGGCCCTTCCGCCCTCCATTATTCTTGCCGGTGCCAGATGCTCCGTTCAGGAGTACATTACCTCTCCTAGACTTTGCAATAAGTGTTGGAAGTTTGGGCACGGTGTCCTCAAGTGCACAAGTACTGTGTATCTATGCCCTTTGTGTGGGGCCGATGATCATTCTAAGTCCGATTGCACTTCTCCCCAGGCTCGCTGCCTCAATTGCGGTGAGGCCCACCCTACCTTCTCACGCTCGTGTATACACTACAAACTCGAGGAAGCCGTCCTCAATTTGAAACACCATGATCGTCTGACTTTTCCTGAAGTGAGACGCCAAGTTCGTCGTCTCACCTCTTTCGCGGGCGTATCCTACGCTCACGTGTTACATTCTACCTCTCCTCATCCTTGCCACCTTCCTCAGTCTTGCAACCGTTTCCAGGCCTTAGACCCGAACACGCCCTCCACCTCCTCCCCTATTCCTTTGCGTCCTGTCCCGAAAGGTCTCCCTCCTGGTTCTCCACCTGGAGTTTCCCCCCTTCCTGCCCAGTCTACCATGTCTCCTATGTCTTCTTCCCCATCTCCCCCCTCTCTTTCTTCCCAACCCTCCCCCAGTCTCTTGACCCTCCACGCCGCCTGTCTGTCCAGGCTGATGTCCATCATCCTCCTAGCAATCTTCGTGTCGTTTGCTTCCGTTCCTCTTCTCCTGCTGAGACCATCGAGTCTGTCGCCCGGTACGTTGTTACTGGAACACCTGTCTCTTCGAGTCAGAAACGTAAGCCTGGCTCTTCTTCTTCCTCCCCAGCGGGTAAGAAGGTATCGCTTTCTTCCTCACCCCCTACCTCTGACACTATCACTGCGTCCCCTCCCATTTTAGTGATTGCGCCCCATGTCCCTGATATGGAGGTTTCTTTCACCCCCGATTCCCTCTCGGTTGCTGCCCTTGCTGAGATGCACTCCCTGATTTCTACCCCTTACCCCCTCCTCCGGCTGTCCTTGACTGCCCCTCTCAGTTGTCTCCTCCTCCTCCTGACCCCGTCCATCTGCCTCTGGCCTGTCCTCCCTCTCCCTTCCCTCCATCCTTACTAAGTTTACCCATGCCCTCTCACCCTGATTTTGCTGACCCTGCTCCTGATCCTGACCCTGATCCTGAGATTCTTTAATAAACTGTGTTATTTTTTACCTTTGTTTCTTTATTGTTCTCTGTTACTGTCCTTTCTCTTTGATAATGTTTATTCTTCAGTGGAATATTCGTGGATTTTATGCCAACTTCCATGAACTCCAACTTCTCATTACACAGTTTACACCACTTTGTGTTTGTCTCCAGGAACCAATGCTTGGTGCTCGTCCTGGTCACTTTCGTGGCTATTCCTTTCTTTCTCTCCCCCCCCCCAGCTCTTGCTGGGGTCCATAACTCTACTGCTCTCTTAATTCGTTCTGATGTTCTCTTCGTCCCCCTACTTCTTCCGTCCCCTATCCATTGTTCTGCTGCTCGTCTTTTTGTGGGTAAATAGTATACAGTCTGTTCCATTTATCTCCCCCCAAATGTCCCGCTTTCCCTTCCTGATTTAATCTTCCTGATTTTTGCCAGAGCCGGTGCCAGAGCCGGTGCTCCTTTTGGGTGATTTCAACTGTCGACATTCCCTCTGCGGTGATGTTCTGACAAACACCCGAGGCCGCCTTCTCGAACCGTTCGTCCTCGCTTCTTCTCTGTCTCTTTTGAATTCTGGTGAGCCCACTCATGTGGACTCTCGGACTCGCACCCTTTCCTGTCTTGATCTTTCTCTCTGCTCGTCGTCCCTTTACTTAAATTTCACATGGCGGGTTCTTGATGACCTCCATAACAGTGACCATTTCCCCATCCTTGTTTCCTTTTTCTCTTTCCACCCTCCCCTGTCCTTCCCTAGGTGGCAGTTTGTCAAGGCTGACTGGGGCCTATTCACCCTCCATGCTACTCTCTCTGGCCTCTCCTCTCTGCCTCTTCCTCGTGCCCTTCTTCATTTTTATGACAGTCTTCGACGCTGCCCTCCACTGTATTCCTCACTCTTCCTCCCGGGGCACGCGGAAATGCGTTCCCTGGTGGACGCTGACACTGGCTTCCTGTCTCTCCAGGATCGCCGTGATCGCTACAGTCTTCGCTATCTTGCGCGATCCTTACAGCATCCTCACTCTCGCCTCTTTCGTACTTTGACATTTACCCCTCCTGTAGTTCCTGTTCCTCTTCACCGCCTTCCTCTTTCTGTCCGTTTATCTCGCTTTCAAGATTCTCTTTTGGTTCGTATTACCAATGTTTCTCCTCGTATTGTTCCATCTTTGCCCCCGTGGAGGGTCCCCCCTTCCCAAATTTTGTATTTCTCTGACCCGCATTACTAAAGCCTTTACCCCTCCTACAGTTCTGAAACGCCTCTTCCTTGAGCACTTTTCTTCTCACTCCCACTCCGTTCCCATCTTCACCGATGGGTCTAAGTATGCTGACGGTGTGGGCTACTCGGTTGTATTTCCTGACCGCACTTATATGTGTCGCCTTCCTCCGTAGACTAGCATCTTCACAGCAGACCTTTATGCTATTCTCTATGCTCTTCGTTTCCTGCTTTCCCGGTGTCAATCCTCCTTTGTGGAGGTAGTTGACTCTCGTAGTGCCCTCATGGCTTTAGAGTCCTTTAATCCTGTCCACCCGGTGGTCATCGAGATTCAACATTGGCTGTTTCTTATCTCCAGTAAATTTAAGTCCATTGCGTTTCGCTGGGTTCCCAGCCATGTTGGTGTCTGGTTGATACCTGGTTGATGGGGTTCTGGGAGTTCTACTTCCCAAGCCCGGCCCGAGGCTAGGCTTGACGTGTGAGAGTTTGGTCCACTAGGTTGTTGCTTGGAGTGGCCCGCAGGCGCACATACCCACCACAGCCCGGTTGGTCCGGCACTCCTTGGAGGAAACAATCTAGTTTCCTCTTGAAGATGTCCCCGGTTGTTCCGGCAATATTTCTTATGCTCGCTGGGAGGGCGTTGAACAACCGTGGACCTCTGATGTTTATACAGTGTTCTCTGATTGTGCCTCTGGCACCCCTGCTCTTCACTGGTTCTATTCTACATTTTCTTCCATATCGTTCACTCCAGTACGTTGTTATTTTATTGTGTAGATTTGGTACTTGGCTCTCCAGTATCTTCCACGTGTATATTATTTGATCTCTCTCTCGTCTTCTTTCTAGTGAGTACATTTGGAGGACTTTGGGACGATCCCAATAATTCAGGTGTTTTATCGCGTCTATGCGTGCCGTATATGTTCTCTGTATTCCTTCTATTTCAGCAATCTCTCCTGCTCTGAAGGGGAAGTGAGTACTGAGCAGTACTCAAGATGGGACAACACAAGTGAATTGAAGAGTACA